TACAAATTGTGACTCTATAGAAGGTCCCTGGGCTAAAAAAGTGGTTTTTCAAACAATCAGGGGCCATAATTTAGGAAGTCACGTTCCGATATGCTTGATTATCGCAAGGAACCGAGATCTTTGTGATATAAACATAAAATTAACGTTTCCTCAAAATCATATCAAAATTGTGACCTCTAGGCTCTAGCCTCTAGAGGGTCCACAACCTCGATATACCATACTCTTACAGATGCGTACGAGGAACGGCCATTTTGTCCGGCAGTTTCGGTCCGATTATCACGAAATACGAACTCAACCATCATTATAGTGTGTAACGGTTATATATTCGAACGTTTTTTTTTTAAATAGGAAAAGAATTGTGTCCTCTAGAGGGACCACAAACTAAAAACGCAATTTTTATACAATCAAGCGCCATAATCCAGGAAGTTACGATCCGATATGCGCGAATATCGAAAGGGGTCAATATCGTTGAGTTATAAACATACATTTCAAGTTTCATCAACATCGGATGAAAATTGTGAGCTCTAAAGTGTCCACAAGCTAAATACGCGATTTTTCGTACAATCAGGGGTCATAATCCATTATGTTACTGTCCGATGCATGTCAATTTCGAAAAGAACCGAGATATTTGGGCGATATACCTATATTTCGTCAAAATCGGATAAAATATGTGACCCGTAGAGTGTCCACAAATTATAAACGGACGACGCAAAAATCATGGACACTTCGTTAAGAACAGATAGAATATTAATGGTCTTAAGCATGATTATTTACGAACTGGTAAACTAGATGATTCTATTCTACTCGTTACTATTGACGTTGATCAACCGCTCTATTGTCGCCTGGGGAACCTTTATCTGGAGCTGATATAACCCCTACTATTTGGATTCTAATATGCCTTAACCCACTCCTTCATTGCTACACCATAATATTACAGAATGTATAATAGAAACAATATTTGAAAGGCCATGAAATGTTATGAAAGGTTATTTTAATTGTTAAAAGTGACAAACTGTTAAACACTATTAACACATTTTTCGTGCAGAGAAATTAATATGCTAACCTCGCATATTAATTTCTTAAAGAATGATAATTTATGACCGGCGTTTATTTTCAAGGTTACATATCTGACTGTCCACGTGAAACTTGGATCTCGGCTTATGTTATATTAAACTAAATGTAACAGCGAGAGAAATGAACACGTGTGTAATACATGTAATTGAAATAAACCACCTATTGTTAAATATAAACACGCAAAATCATTGTATGTAGATACAAGCCCGACGAGAAGACAGCTCATGATATATTCAAATGAAACGAAACTATGCTTTTTTAATATTTGAATATTATTGCTACTGTGGAAAATCCATTATAACATTTCCCCGTTTAAAAAACATCAAAAGCAATGCCAAAAATAATGTTTATAATATCTCGAACATTCAACAAGTATTTCATACATAATTGTTGGATAAAATATTAGCCAGAACTTAGAAAGGAATTCCAGGCGGTGTAATAGTCGCTACTATCAGAAAATAGGGATATTTTATAATGTGAATACTTACATTTTTCCAGTAAGAAGTAGCTCATTAATTATAATGTGAATACTTACATTTTTCCAGTAAGAAGTAGCTCATTAATTATTCCTTATATTCCATGCATGATGTCGGTAAACATTATTCTTGGCGGAATACACGTGGATTCGGATTGCAGAATCGTGCGAATCTTCTGATTCGGGAGCATTCTGGATTCTGCTGACGTATATGCGTATGGATCAAAATAGTATCTGTATAATTATGTGCCCCGATTCGTCTTAAACAACTAAAGAGTGAAGGTTATTTACTAAAACGATAAAAAAAATGAAATATATTGGGAATGATTATATTAGTTTGATTAGAAAATGCAAAAAAAAAAAACAATATTAAATAATAATAAAAATTTCGGCAAAAAGGATTGGTGGCAAATAGTTTGTGAAAGGTCAAACATATTCCACCACTTATGAATAATAAGGCTCTATATTTAATCCGAAGCACAAAGCACATTGTTTAAACGAATACTTTATTAACCATTCACAGCTTGACTACACAAATAAACAACTTCCTGAACTCAACAAAATCATGTTTCACTTTGTCACCTAAAATTAACACCTAAAGAGGTTGAAGACATCATTTCCATTATTGATACTTCAAAATCTACAGGCCCAGATGTCGTCAATGGAAAATTCCTAAAATCCATCTCTTTCGAAATTAGCCGAATGGTTAGCGCGTTCGCGCTGTATCATAAGGTCCGTCATCTGGCGTGGTTTCGATTTCCCGGTCGACGTGACAAGGAGTAGGGTCGCCTGTTCAACCTCGTGGGTTTTCTCCGGGTCTTCCGGTTTCCTCCCACAGCTAAATACCCCTATGCGCAGGCGAATTGTTGAAATAAAGTTGAACCATGTGTTGGCCCCGAAATGACCTAGTTTATGTCAAATGGACGTTAAACCCCATCTCTCTCTCTCTCTCTCTCTCTCTCTCTTAAAGGAAGCAAGTGTTAACTCAGTATCATCCACAGTCTTCGACATTGCAAACACGACTTATTGGTCAATTTAAATCTTGATTTTGTTATCTCACCTTGAAAAGGTGGGCTTCTAATATCCAATATTTACGACAAAATGAACATATACATGTACATTCATATTACATTATTATCTGCGTTGCGACCCATTTCTGTCCATTTCTAGGTGCCAAACTATACAGATTTAGCTCTTTTAAACTACTCAACATATTTAAATTCAAGAAGGTGCAATGATGGTGTAGAACTGGTAAATATGAAAAATCCGCAATTATGCTTGATCAATATCAGTTTAATTAATGATAAAATAATACAGGTCATTGAATATTTATTTCATCATATTTGTGAAATAGCACTACTAAAAGAAACCCTGGCCGAAAACTAATACCAGTGGACACTTAATTAGTGAATTGTTTGCTGTTAGAAAGCAGGGATATCAGGATAACTTATTTGAATACATAGATGCATCTTGCAAATCAACGGAGAAACCACACGATTCGTCTTTATATACAGGCCCCATTGAGAAAGAATACAAACAATCCTACCAATATTAGAATAAGCAGAATAGCCGGAGACTTCAACAGTAATGTTCACAACCAGTCAGATCACAATGCAGTACAATTGTCTAAGTTGATCTGTTCATTCGGTTTGAGTCAATATGTCAACGCACCAACCCATATTAGGTCATGGTCTTGATTTAATACCAACATGATCCGGTTAAAATTGCATTTAAGACTTTGAGACATACGGGTCCTCGTCTATGTGACCACCTTGCTCTCCATTTTACAGTTGCATTTATTAAACCCCTTACCTCTGTCATACTTATTAATAAATACCGAAAATACGAAAGCATTGCTTTAATAGTTTTACTGGTTACTTAAACTAAGGCAAAAGTACTAAATCCATCACCAGAAGGCGCCGTGCAGAGTATAATTGATAAACCTAATTGTCCATGGTTTAATGGTGAGGAAACAAAGATGCAAGGCAGAAAAATTGTGAAAGAAAATATTTAATGAAGAAAGCCAATTTCGAACCGCAATCTCCTAAAACAAAACTACAAACCCGTGGGTAATCTATGCTATGTCTCGAAGTTCCTAAAGGAGTGTGTTCTTCTTCAACTATACATCATCATAATATGTCGATCAACAGTCTAGAAAATATTTGAATCTTTGCATGATTTGATAATTTTTAGTTCGGAACTTTCTTTATTCGATCCCTCTTCGATTGCAATGCACTTTCACAAGACCGCCTCTTCTCTTTAGATTTGAATATATTTCTCAGATTGTGCTTTTTTGTTTAGTTATTAATACTGACCTAATGTTTCATTTACACAATTTCCTTTGAGTCTGGCTGTGTAATTGTCTTTGGTATAGATCTGTTTTTCGAATTTCCTTGTTTCGTTATCCACATTCCGCTACTATTTTCGTCTTGTAATTGTATATCAGTGAAAGATTGGGAGTAATTTATGGCGGGTGTTAACTATATCCTGCATTATAATCGTCTGCATTCGATGACGTATTTTCAATCTTTCGTGTATTTGTAAAATGGGCGGGTGTGTGTGGGGGGGGGGGGGGTAGATGGCCGAATGGTTAGCGCGCTGTATTATAAGGTCTGTCATTGAGTCAATGGGATGGTTTCGATTCCCCGGTTGTACGTGACAAGGAGTAGGGTCGCCTGTTGAACCTCGCGGATTTTCTCCGGGTCCACTGATAAAAGACCACTACGCGCAAGCAAATTATTGAAATAAAATTGAACCATATGTTAGTCCCGAAATGACCCCTCTCTCTTCTCTTATTTTTCTTTATTTCAAAACACGGTAAACCGCCCCTTTAAATTAACACGCGCTATCACTATATATTGCGATTCTCCGTGGCATAAGGGGAGTAACTCTAGTTAATTAAACGGATGCAGACCACCATTAATTTCCCCATTGACGTCAATGTTAATTCTAGCCTCTTTGCCCACCTCCAACTTTTTCCCAAATTTTTGTTGGGCTGAATGCTTTTCACTACAGACAGAGGAACAAATGGTCATATCTTTGCACTAAAATTTGTATGAGGTTGACAACCAAAATTTTGAGATACACAAACTTGAAGAAGCATACTACTGTAGTTGCCGTACATATCACCGTAGCCAACCTGATAACCCCGTTATCCTTCCGCCTCAAAATCATGAATATTTACCATGTGAATTCTGATAATCTGTGTATTTTGTAAAACGGTATCTGGTTGTGTTGGACAAGTGTCGACAAGTATGAAAACTGAACGTCTGACTGTGTATACATAGCTAATTGAAACGTGTTAGGGGACATAACCGGTGGCGTAAGAAGGATGATTGAGCCCAGGGGTTGACAGGTTGATCTGCTTGTTTGGACTCCCAGTGTTTTCAATTTCATTATGCTTTTTGTGACTTAGTGGGACGATAGTCAGTAAATAAATCATTTAACATAATAACAGAAATATCTTTTTTTATTAATTATGTAACTTTTTATATATGCATTGAACATCAACAATCATGGATAATTATTATGCGCTAAAACCGTAAGTACAGTCAACGGACCATTGCCCAAGCTGACTGATTGAATCACTTGGAACAGTTTGACCAAATTTGGTATATATCTGGAACAGAAAGTCAACGGGTTTTATCCTCCACGGTCCCAATGCTTCCCACCAAATTAGAAAATCATAAAAGGTTTGATCTCCGGCTGAAAATCAGTGGGGTTCTCCTTTCGTGACCCAAATGCTTTACACCAAATTTGAAAAATTCCGTTAAGAACTGAAGCCTCTTTTGCGTTCGCAGAGTTTTCCGATAAGGGGGCGTAATCGATAGGGTTCATCCCTTCATGATCTACGATAATATACGACCATATCAACATTCAAAGGAATGTTTTATGTTAACATAAAATCACAAACTGTCGCCATTTAAATATAATTATGCTCCTTGTAAAGTATTTAGAAACAAATTTGTACAAATATGAAAGTCATTTATGAACAATTATGAACATATATACACGATAAAATAATGAATAACTGATTTAATATGTGTTCAAATAAGCATGCCATTACACCCAAATCATGGTCAGTTGATTGTAAATAAAATATTTACTATGGAAAGTGAATAAAGTACATTGTAGAAAACTACAACATTGAGTTCACATTATTGTTCAAGAAAGATCACTTCTGGTTATGACATGGCTTTATTTCCTACAATTCTACTGTTACTAGTTATGACGGCGCATTATGTATATAAGCTTACTATGAACGTTTGGTGGCGTCAATAAAGTTCAGCCAAACCTGGTGTTGACTCAGCTTATCTGTTAACACGTACATTGTAAGCTCAAGCTACATTAATCACATGTTACACGTTGGTTAATCTGCATAGATCGTGAGTTATTCTATATGTCACAGAGAACCAACGAACATCTATTAATTCTTCACCAAATATAAAGTATGTAGCATTATCAAACGCAATAATGTATCACATGACCAAACGCAATAATTTATCACATGACCAAACGCAATAACAAACTTTCTACGATGAATGAACGTTTCAAATCCAATTCTCCTTCTCCTTATCTAATACGTTCTGGTGTTTTGTGTTTTTTTGTCTCTGAACAACAATAACAACTAAACACACTGTGGCACAGATGAAATATATATTAGCTACTAGAAAGAATGGCGACATGTAAGTACCAGTTACATCCATTAATTTACCTACAAAAAACAACAACATTTATACCTTACAACATGTGTAAACAAACCAACAGTGAGGTTGATAACGCATATTATTTTATTACACGTTTATCTTATTGTAAAGTACGAGCAAGCTAATGCTCATTCAATTTGAATCAAAGTTATCAACCAATCAAAAATGCAAATCATCGAAGTCAGTGAAGACATTCATCTAATGAACATCTATACCACCTTTGAGCAGTCTACAGTAGAGGTATTGTGTTCCAAAGTCTTGACCAATCAAATTGCTCATCGTTAATTAGCTTAAACAGAAAAAGATCATGATTGAAGTGTGTCAAGGTATTGACGTAATGAAACTGCACATCACTTTAAACCAAATTGTTTATCTCTGCTTCTACTTAAAAAAAAAATTCCACAAATAAACACCAATACCTGGCTCAATTAGAAGCAGGTTATTTTGTGACCAGCAAAAACTGGATGAGGGGGTGGGGGTGGGGGGTGGATGTTATAACATTACTAAGATCAGTTTTAAACCATTATAACCTACATTTGTAATGTGTGTGAATAGACTATACTTAATCAGTCTGGAAATAAGGCACCTGTCACAGACAATGTCAGGCACAGATTCAGGCTTTGTCAGGCACAAAACTTCTGGTGCCTGTCATTTTGTTCGGCACTGATTTGTCTTTTTCATTGATATTATTAATACATGTCCTGCACAAAGTTGAAAATGTCAGGTACATCTAAAACCGTTATTTCCAGGCCTGCCAGTCAGTTTAAATGAAATATAAAAATAAATCAATACATACCGGCTAAAGGCGGGCTTATAATAAATGCAACTCCCTGAAACAAAGCTATAATACCAAACGATTGCGTCAGACGTTCTATTTTCATTAGATCTGCTATAACTATAGATCTCATTGAAACCGCTACAGCTGTAAGAGAAATGATGGAAAATACATACATGTTTTAGCATTGCTTTTATATACTGTGGTTGAGGCTGTGGTGAGGAATCAAACTTTTTTCTGAATTCTAAAATCACACTGGGGATTAACTTACAGCGGAAAGTTCAACCTTGAAGTAGCTAAGTATCAACTTTGGTATCTACTTTATTAAATTTTGAATATAATCTACCATTTCAGAATACAACCCCATGGAGATTTGTATGCAAAGCTTTTCGGTTTTGTGCTATGACATAAAGTATTTATAATTTTAAATGTATTTTCTGCGTCTAGATCGTGCATCTAGAACGTGTTGCCATTTTTCAATGAAGTTTGGCCTGTTGAACTTTGCTTTTATCTGACTATCATAAATACCTTTTGAATTTATGTTATGAGGCTGGGTATTATGTCTTTAGCAAAACATGGAAACATCCCCCCACACAACAGCTTTGTCTGTATAAATCGATAGCTTTATACAACAGCTAATCCGAAAGACAATAATTGGATGTTAACAAAATTTGATAAGGTATACAAGGCTTTCAAGAAATCGTGTTCACACAAGCTTGTAAAGAATCCGTTAAAGACTCTATCCTCTATCGCGTTCTCAAGATTTTGGCAAAAGTGGGAATAACTCTGGAACGGATGGTCAGGGAATGTTGAAATTCGATAGGATTCTTCCAGTCATGACCCCAAATGCTTCACGACAAATTTGAAATAAAATAATCCGTTAAAAACTATTGCCTCTATCCGGTTCAAAGAGCTATTTGAAAAGGGAACATAACTCTTGAACGCTGAATATCGATAGGGTATGTTCTCTCATGAACCCCACTACTTTATTAACTTGAGCCTCTAATGCTTCAAATTAAATTTGTATAAAAAAAAACAAGAAAAAAATACGGAAGGTCGCGGAATGCTGAATGTTTATACTTACCCATACATAGACCGAATCCAGCTGTAGTGACGATTAATGTTGGAAAGGTTACACAAAATGGAAAAACAAAATTAACCACTGCACCAATACAGAACGCCACAAAATATAAAACTATGCTTTTTACGTTTAGAACGTCATTGGTAAAGCCTGCTACAACACGCCCGATGGTGTTTGAAATACCCACGATAGAAATGAGAAGAGCTGCATTAGAACGGCTTATTCCATGAGTGACAGCCAACCCTGGTAAATATGTTATTGGAATTGATTGAACTGAAATATTGTAAAAAGAAATAACGATTATAAGACTAGGAAACATTGTTGGAAAGAAAAGGGAAGAAAATCTGTGAAAAAAAAGAGAAATTAAACATTAGTGGGTTTTGTATCGAAGTTTTGTGCAGTGAATTGCCAGTTTTAAGTAAAGGAAAGCAAAACTGAAAAGAAACAAAGAACTGTCATAACTAATAATTGTTTTTATATTTAATCAACATTGCTGTCTGGATGTATTGTATTTATATTTTTTAAAGAAAGGCCTTTAATCACCGACAAAACGACGATACGTTACATCATAATATATAAATATACGATCAAAATAACAGTACTTAATGCCTTTAACCAATACATACACTACAAATCCACACATTGGTTCGGGTTCATTTCAGAGTCTTCAAAGGCCCTGAAAAAATGTTAAAAAGACCCGTAGAAAGTACAGGCAAGGGGTTGTTAGATTTTACAACCTGATACTATAGTGTGCATTTCACTATACGTTTTACGTCGATATTCAAAAATCTTGATTTCATTGTGTAAATCCCTCTACTAGATTTTGTTTGTTCATGGGTTTCTCGCAAGTTATTTATCATTAAATATTATTAATGTTCCCCTCCATTTTTGCCCAAATTTCTGAGAAAACCAATCTCCTGCGTTTAGCTGATGGTGTTTGTATGTCATACGTTACGCGTATACCACCTTTAAGATTTAATCGAACGGTCAGTAGAGAAGTGTAATAAAAGAAAAGTACATTAATATTATTCAAATACAAATTTATTTTAAACTGGAAATAAAAAGGTGAAGACAAAATGTTAGTGATATTCTACTTCAGTTAGAAGAATTACAATAAACCATCGTGTTTTAAAAGTAAATAATCCTATTAAAGTGATATAACCAGAAGTTCAAATCTTATTTCTCTGGTGTTCATAATATTCATGTACGTATTATACAAAAAAAGAATATAGTAATTCAAGTTAAGATTTTTTATAGTTATCTTTTCTAAACAAATTCTTGTAATTTTATTGTATCGGTTATCTTACCTGTCCAAAATGTGCAAACCATTAAAACGGCCCAAAATATTCTGTCTTTAAATAATGACAGATCGTAGAGCGATTTCAACCTGGATTTACTCTGTGAAATATGAGATTCACTACATTCACAGACAGATTGGTCTTGCGTCATTTTTGCTAGGAAAGAACTTAGGCTACCACCACAAGTATCGTAATCGGGTAAATGGTTGACGCTGCCGCTATAAAAAATGTCTTTCCTTAACATCGGATGTAGTAGACCAAAAGCTATCCGGTCTGTTTTTGTATCGGGGTTTAATTTACAAACAGCAACAGCGCTGACGTGAAGTCTTGGGTCAACTTGTTTTACACTCAGAAAGGACAAATCTTCCGCACTTTTAAATTTTAGACCACGAGGACGGTATTTGTCTTTATGCAACTTAATAGAAACATGGTTTGTTTCAGTATCCGAATCAGACTCGTGATCCAGATCATCTGGTTCTTCACTGGAACCTCCATATCCACTAGAACCAGAGCATGACATATCTTCAAACTGTTCTTCTTTGAAAGTGTGTGGTCTGATTGGTCGAAATAAAGCACCACATACTACACAGTTTAACATGAGTCCTGACAAAATGATAACTGTACCTTTCCAGTCGTAGACACCTAACAGATAATCAGTTAAATATCCATATACAAATACACCTACACCAGCACCGCTTGTAGCAATACCTGTAGCAATGGCTCTTTTCTTGGTAAAGTATAAACCAACTACTATGATAGATGTCAAATATACTAAACATATTCCTGCACCTAGAATAAGAAAGTTGTTTTATTAATGGTGGACACTGGCCTTAGTTTTGGTTATTTCAAAATTTAAAATAAATATACAATTTTTTAATCATTATTAATTTGATTAGGTATGTTTTCTGATGCAAGTTAAATTAGTTTATTATTTTCGTTTCGTTTTCGTAGAAGTTGTTTATTGTGTTATAATAAGTGATGAGTACATACCAGATAATACACCAAAGGTTAATATCATCAACTCAATATTAGGTGAAAAAATACTGACACCCATCCATACTGAGGCAATCAATCCACCAACAATAGTAACTTGTCTACATGTATATTTTTTCAGCAGCATACTAACAACTGGTCCTGTAATAATAATAATAATAATAAAATAATAATGTACGTAATAATATGCTCCAACAATTTGTTGGTTTAATTATTTCTTAAATCATTTATAATTCGATTTTATTTGTAAAGTAAACTATATTATAAATGAAATCGATTTAACTACTTTCATCAAAAACCTAATATCAGCACATCAAAATCCAGCACCTCTATCCCCTACGCCTTGCTACATAGCTTTAAAGTGTCGTTTCCAACACCTCTATCCCCCACACGCCTTGCTACATATATAGCTTTAAAGTGACCTTTCCGGCAACCCTATCTCTCACACGTTTGCTCTGGCGCTGGAAATGAAATGAAATGAAATGGGGTTCAACATCCTACTGTTCTGCTCCGAACTGGGTTATGAAGACGGTCATACCCCAAACAATGTGCTCTGAGGGAAATTATGCCCGGACAGCGGCACTACGGCCTACTCTTATATCAAATTCCAACTGTCAAGGGATCTTTTACGTGCACGCCAATGTGTACACGGGACCTCGGTTTTATGTCCCATCCGAACCACGCCGGAAAATCTGGATGAACTTTCTCGGCCAATGCAGGGATCGAGCACCCGACCTCTAGGCTAGCGAGCCACGTGATCCCCCCTGGCGCTGGATCTTAAAGACTAGGTGTGATTTCAACGTTATAGGAATCCTCGTGAACGTTGGATCTCTAATAAGGATATCAGTCCAAACATGGTTATTTCCTTTCAGTATTTACAACGATATGGCGAATTGAAAATTACATCGATCTATGCAGTTGCCTATGTAACGAGCCCACCTCCATCTTTAGTTGCCGTGAACCAAATTGGCGGGCCTGTGTAATCCGATTGAATTCAAGGCAGATAATCTTAATGAAATGTTAAATAATCAATCTGAGTACATATTAAGATATAAGCTTGGATTAAGCTATGGAAAATAAGATATTTTCCGAAAAATGCACACCAAGCATCTCTACTTTAATAATGTCTTTTAAAAATTAAATTTTGACACAAGATATATTTTTCTAAAAATATGTATGGAAAAGATACTGGCTGTTTATTATAATGAATTAATCAATATGTTTGCCTTAATGTATAACGTTAGATATCTATTACATATACTTGAACCTAAAACTTCAATGTTTAATATTCGCTGAATTTCGGTAAATTGTTTTGCTTTTTAATACACATATTAAGAACAGGTTTTGTCTTTACCATGTTCTACTCTAGATTATATACCCTTTTTAAAAACCTTACCCGAATGAAAGGTTGAGTGCATATGATTACTGATTTGGACAAAGGTACAACAAAATCATAACATACCCATCATCATGCTGAGTCCCAATTGACTGGATCCAACAATTGCAGTCTTGAATTTAGAATCTTTGAAGTAATCCAGAAGTTCCAGGAATAAAATTCCAAATGAAAACATTGTGCCATCTGCTATAAAGTTTATCATAAAGGCTCCAAAGCAAACCACCCAGCCCCAACCACCATCAGGAGCAAGGTCGACGGCATGATTCACCTGATTATTTTTTTTATTTTTGGTTGAACTATGCATTGCTTGTATTAAATTTAACTAATATGTTGACTACGTGTTATTGGCATATACAAATTACTAACACTACAGCTTGTTTACATCTTTGATACCTGAAACAATGAAATATGAAAATAAAATATACTGACATAATAGGCCATGTATAATATAATTACAATAAATAATTTGGCTTACAGATCACCAATTGTTTCTACATGGAAACTAAAAACACCGGCAAAAGCATTTATTTTGTCAATAGCGCCCAAAGTACTGCAAAAAGTGGTCGATAAGGAAAATTCTTCAAAATTTGAATGATTTCATAATGTTTACAAAGATGTGGATAATTGAAATTTTGAAAAAATTGTCCTCCGAATCACCAACAAGGGCGTTTGTTTGGGTTTTTGTCAATTTCACTTATCCATAATTTTGTCTATTTTTATTTTTGTGAAATCATCTAAATTTTGGATAACTTTTCTTGTCGGTCACATTTTGCAATACTTGGGGGATATTAACAAAATAACGCTCTTATCCGTGATTTGAAGAACCCACTAATGTACTAGTCATTTGCATAAATGTGACCTTTTATGTAATATGCTGGAATGAAACATTTCTTTACATTGATATAAGAGCATTTTAAAAACAGGTATTATCTGTATAGGTACACATATAACTACAATGTGAAAACGGATTTAGACAATCATGATTTTATGTTAAACAATCATAAATGCACAATTAAAAATAGATAAATAAAATTTAAAAATATCCCACCTCATCTTAAAACCCAGTATAGTATTCCCCGTTACACAGTAAAACAAATTCTATCTGTCCAAACTTATACACGCGACTCCAAACGAAACACCCGCACTACTAATACGAACAACAGTCAGGACTATTCTAACCCGTTCATCAGCTGAGAACCATATTATATTACACAGTGTGACCTATATGGCCACATGGGAAATATTAACACGTTTACCTAGCGTGGAACTTTTGCATTTTTTTTACGTATTACATTTGTACTATATCTTAAAAAGTATCGAATTATCATAGAAATCCAGGTACTTTTCCCTTCTTGTCGATGAACGGTAAATTTCCCCATAATGTAACTGTATTAACAGCACACTGATCCGCAGTGAATATTCGCTAGGCCGCTCCAATAGTAATTCTCTGTGAAACAGATTGTATTAACAGCTGTTGGAGATTTTTTCCATTCTAGAGACTCGATGTGAATCAGTAATTGTCTCGTATCTATACATAATATAACAATCGAATTCCCCTTATCCTTGAATATATTTAATAGGTTGCTATTTCATAAAGCGTAGCAAGGTTCTTCGCTACGCCATTAGATCAAGGCTGTAGATAAACACTAGTCATTCATGTATGAAATAATGTTTCTATGCGTGTGTAAGGCGAAGAACCTATAGTTCATTTTTTTGATGGCGACGTGTGTATTAAACATAGCCGTAGGAGGTGGTGGTGGGGAATGGGGGTCAATCTCAGTTGGGGATGGGCGGGTGGGGGGGGGATGAGGATATTTGCCCGAAAATTTTCTTTGTCACCCGAATTTTCAGAATGAATCAATCATTAACTAAAACGAGTTTTCCACAAAGCTCCACTTAGGTAATACAGTATTTAAAACGTAAACCGCGAGCGATTTCATTTTACAATTATACAATTACATTTCTATGATATTATATGGTCTCATTCTCTGATGGTTGTACCCGAATAAAAATGGACGGTTCGCCGAATCCAGGGAATATATGATAGTAAATAAAAAATAATGTTGTCTGACCCGTTGTTTAGCCTTCGGAATTATTATGATTACTGTTAAAGCACTATTTAAATATTAGGGAAGATTATGATTACTGTACGCGATATTTCGCAAACTAGGAAGTCACAGGTTCGATTCCGGTGTTGGGCGAGAAAGTTCGTCGGGATATTCCAAGGTGGTTTCCTCCGGTCAGTATGGTGCAGTACTGAGGGCCTTGCAAGGGACAGCGTGTAGTCGTTCGGATAGGATTAAAAACCGACATTTCATGTACATGTTGGCCCTCACGTTTTGCAATAATTTGGAAGCTGTTAACCCAAAAACGCTCTTGTCGGTCCTTGCCGGTGATTAGTAGGTCCTGCTAATTTAGATAGAGACTGATCCGAGATGTTTAGCGAGTTTTGGGTGGACGTTGCCCTGTCTGTACTGTGAGAGACTGATCCGAGATGTTTAGCGAGTTTTGGGTGGACGTTGCCCTGTCTGTGCTGTGAGAGACTGATCCGAGATGTTGAGCGAGTTTTGGATGGACGTTGCCCTGTCTGTACTGTGAGTAATTGATCTCTGAAATGGCGTGTCTTTAGCTGTCAAAGGTAATTGTGACAATCGCACTTGGCCATGAACAAAGTTCAAGTGTCAAAGTTATTTAATCTGATTTAGAAGTTATCTTATTTATGATTAACTAAATATGTGTAGACTTATAACAAACACTGTCTCGTGTTCAACTAACATCTTTAGTATAAGTACTGGCAGCCGCCAAGATATTAATATATAACAGATTTGATTACCTTGTACTTACAATTAATCTGAGAGATCGACTTTGGTCTACATTCAGCCAATATCCAGAGTTAGGTAATATATAGGTAAAGGTGGTTGATAGTATGTATTATATTATATTCTATAGTAAACTTATGTTGATAAGATAATCAGTGGTCAACGTTATTTTATGTACAGCTAACCTACATTATTTTATTACTGGCATAGTATCTCGGTCACCCAGAACCCCCTAGTCTCCAGAAAACCATTAGAATTTGTTTGGTTTTTATAAAGTTCTTCCCCATGCTAACGTTTTGTATACAAAACTTTTAATACTGTATCATGGATTTAGCTGTTCCAAGTCATAAAAAATCATTGAAAATCAATATACTTGTTCGTCTCAAGATCTTAAACTCTGTGTATCAATCTGAAGTCAATCGGATATTAACTTTGGCCTCTAGAGCGTCCACAAGATTTTTCAAATTGATCAAGGGCCATAACTTTGGCAGTAATTATCAGAAATCTTTGAATATCAATAGGGTTCTTCGCCTCGTGACCTCAAACACTGTATATAAATTTAAAGTCAATCAGATATTAACTTTAGCCTTTAGAGCATCCACAAGGTTTTTTGAAGTGATCAAGGGCCATAACTCTGGCAGTAATTATCGAAAATCACTGAAAATGAATAGACTTCTTCGTCTCATGACCTTAAACACTGTGTATAAATTTAAAGTCAATCGGATATTAACTTTGGCCTCTAGAGCGTCCACAAGATTTTTTGAAGTGATCAAGGGCCATAACTCTGGCAGTAATTATCGGAAATCGCTGAAAATCAATAGACTTCTTCGTCTCATGACCTTAAACACTGTGTATAAATTTAAAGTCAATCGGCTATTAACTTTGGCCTCTAGAGCGGACGGACGGACCGACGGACGGACGGGCGACGACAATATACGACCACATTTCAATGTGGGCGTATAAAAACTAAAGCGAAACCTGTTCTAATTAATAATAGGAACATTTAAAATTTATCTTTAGGTGGTCTTAGCACCGAACTTTTACTTTGGAACGTCGAAAATGATCTTGCATAACAGAACCAAAACGCTTCGGAGCCCGTTTCAAAAATACGTAAAATCTGTTAAATAAAAATCTCCCCGAATTAGTTTTACAACGAATGCTATACATAATGATACTAGTTGTCTGGAAAAAAAAACAATTAAATAGTTCCATGGCTAGACTCCAGCCTGCAGGCCGCGTCACAAAGCCTGCCAAAATTTTCCAATACGACATATAAATCCTGTGAACTACTATGTACAATGCATTCGTCGGTTTTATCTGCGTCCATGTTACAGTAAAATTCATAAAAACTCATAAAATATTTGCAAACTTTTAATCTCGTCGTCAGATACGTGTTTTCCCTTCACAGATTAACGTCGGTTTTCGTAGACTGGGATTCTCGGAAATCCACGGGGCCTGTAGGCTGGAGTCCAACTCTGAAACTATTCAATTGTTTTTCAGATAACTAGTATCATTATGTATAACAATCGTTGTGAAAATAAATAGAAGAGATTTCGATTTGACTGTTTTTACGTATTTTTGAAACATGTTTCAAAGTGTGTTGGTTCTGTTATGCAAGATCATTTTCGACGTTCCAAAGTAAAAGTTCGGTGCTAAGACCACCTAAAGATGAATTTTAAATGTTCCTATTATTAATTAGAACAGGTTTCGCTTTAGTTTTTATATTTTACGTTGACATTTTATTGCTTTAAATCTTCCTAGTGCAAAAACGGTAAATTTCACCTTTTGACCTCCATGGTCACTAAGACTAAAGATGAATTTAGCAAGTTTACATTTTTATTGAAAGTGTGATTACTTTCGATCATTTTCAGCTTTTTTTCATAATACAAGAATGAATGCGCATTCACTTTCAGTGCAAATGGACTCATCTGACCAATGACCCCGAATATCTCGAAAACGCCCCAACGGCGGACTGATTACCACTCGGCATCGTATTCTACGCAAAATTTTACTCTAGAAAAGTTGGGTCTGGTTTTGTGCCCATTTGATGGACACCCCCCGCCCCCCGCGCTGAGCCTCCGGTCTATAGCGTTTATCGCAGATATGGCGGGCGTTGTCTACTCCACTCAATATCTTAGTCATCCGATGATCTTAATAGTTGATTATTGGCTTTTCATTTAAAGTACTAATTTATATAAAACTTAAAGCCAGACAAACAAATTTAGCTCTCACAAAATGCCAGTAAAATCGTGTAATGTTTCGCTGTATATTCTGATGATTAGGCCATCAACTATAAATAACGGAGCAATTTTCGAAAGTTTTTTGATATTACTCTGTGAACTAAACGGTCGACGACATAAGCGCTATATTTGTATTGTGTGCCTATAGCTACCGTTCAGATTGTGTATCTAACCTTTATTGTTTCGAAATTGGGTCATTTTTTTTAGCATCGCCCCATATACTCTATCCAATCTCGGAGCCACGGTGGCTCAGTGGGTGAGACGTTAGCTTGCTAACCAGTAGGTCCGGTGTTCGATTCCTGCGTTGGCCGAGAAAGTTCATCGGGATTTTCCG